ACACTTGGCTACTTATATCGATTGTTTAGCTGAACTGATCATCAAAGGACGGCATCACTGTCGACAACTTTGGGGAGGAGATCCTTCCTTAATTATCTCTCAATTCACTCATAGTCAGATCATTTATCTTCTTGCAACTTCTGATTCTTGGCAAGAAGCTTCATCAATCTTGACTTACAGTTTATCCTTATCCCTCGGTGCAACAGGGAGAATTGTTTACTATTCTCATGGTCTTACTTAATTTCCCTACTACTGGTTGTAATATTAGTGATTCTCAATATGCCGTTTATGTTACTTCTTATATTTCTCAGGCCACTTTACCTCTTTGTGCTACTTCTTCTCTTCAAAAACTCTTTTCCTTGTTATTTTCTACTTTGAGCCAACGTCGAGCTCCTTTATTCATCACTCATCTTCGTTCTCATTCTCAACTGCCTGGACCATTAGTTCATGGAAATACTCAGATTGATTCACTTCTAATTGGCCACTTGCAGGCTGCAGAACAAGAACATGCTCTACATCACACTAATAGTTCTGGCCTTCAACGACGGTTTCATTTAACTCATAAATAAGCTTGTTCTCTTATTCGAGCTTGTCCTTTCTGTGCTCCTTTGAGCATTCCATCCTTCCATCCTGGAGTTAACCTGAGAGGTATTCAAGTTAATCAAATTTGACAAATGGATGTTATACATATTCCTTCTTTTGGACGATTAAAGTATGTTCATCATACCATTAATACTTTTTCTCATTTTCAATGGGCCACTCCGTTGCCATCTGAGAAAGCTGATTCTGTTATTACACATCTCTTAGCTTGTTTTGCCATTATGGGCATTCCTTTTATACTTAAAACTGATAATGCCCCTGCCTATGTCTCTCATAAATTACAAGTTTTCTTACGGCAATACAATATTCGACATATCACCGGGATCCTGGGCAACAGTCAAGGTCAAGCCATCATTGAGCGCGCAAATTTAACTTTAAAAACTCAACTATTAAAACAAAAAGGGGGAAATGAGTCCCCCCAAAAAAACCACATTTTTTTGAAGGTTAACCTTTCTACCTTAATTTTTTTGATTTTGAAGGTTCTTTTTACTTTAATTATTTTTTGAATCAATGGAGACAATTGCAAGACTCCGCTGTCGTAACCCATCTTTCCTCACCTCCCTCGGTGATAGTCCCCGCTGACAATTTAAAGATTTGGTATCCTAATGAAGAAGGTAAGTATGTTCAAGGGCAAGTTCTAAAACAGGAACGGGGCTATGCTCTTGTCCTTACAGGGAGTGGACCTGAGTGGTTTCCTACAAGAGGATTGAAATCCTGTTGAAAAGAAAACTGGATTCAGCATGCATTTCTTCCTTTGTTGGATGTGCCTCGGCGGGGGACTTATTTCCCTTAGTGAGGCTTTGTATGAATATTGCACTTATATTCCCTTTCCACCCTTGTATCAGGGAGTCGCCTGGGGAGAGGTGGAAATTAAGGTTTTCACCAATGACACTACTTGAATGCCGTCCCCCTATATAGACAAGGACAATATAGAACGGGAAACAGAAATTATAAACAACACATACCAATTTGGAGTGGAAGAACTTCCAATATGCATGGGAAATAGTTCTCATTGTCTCCAAAAATCGTATGAAGCCTGGGTTGTTCGCTATAATCATAGTTATGTGGCTGCTAATACTGTTATTATAATCATACTGTATATAGTAATGAAACTATTCCTAGTTCTTTACCTTTTTGTCCTATTCCAGAGGTTTCTCCTAATATTGAGGTGCTGGAGTGGCAACTATGTCGGGGAAATAAAACCCGGATTTTATTAGAATACAATGGGATGCAAATAACTGATTGAAGTGTGCACGGTGATTTTCAAATAAAATTTAGTCACATACCTTTGAAATGGCACCGGGTAAATAAAAGTATTGCTGCTAACAATAATGAAACCTTGGTATGGTGTGAAGGAGGCCTAAGTACAGAGTCATCTTTGGAAGTTGTTAGCTGCAGGCGATGCCATTAGCACTTTTGTGGGGAATATGTCTCTTAATCTTTCTAACCCAACTAATTCCTTTCATATTCAGTTATATCGGAATACCTCTCGATATATTATTGCTTGTGTCCGTAAGCCCTACCTATTATTAGCAGGGAATTTGATATGGGATAATAATACGGGAATTGTTAATTGTACAAATACGTGTACATTTTTGTCTTGCCTCAATCATTCTTGGTGGCACAACTTTGCTGGGGATATTTATATCCTCAGGGCTCGTAAGGAAATTTGGCTACCTGTTAATCTTACGCGACCGTGGGGGGCATCACCTCTTGAAACTTATATTTGGACTTCTCTTCAGCAAACCCTCCGTGCCCTTGGACTTATAATTGCCTCGGTGATGAGTCTTGTTGCCATTGCCTCCACTGCGGCTGTAGCAGGGCTCGCTCTTCATCAAAGCATACAAAATGCTGAATTTGTGCAGCAATGGCATGAACAATCTCACCGGTTATGGCTTCAACAACGAAACATTGATTCTCAACTTGCTGAAAGATTGGACAACATGGAGCAAGCGTTGACATGGCTTGGAGATCAGCTCACTGTACTCAGTACTCGGGTAACATTACAATGTGATTGGAATTCCACTCAATTTTGTGTAATGCCTGTGCCTTTTAACATCTCTCAAAATTGGACTATAATCCGAAAATTATTAATTGGCCATAAAAATATTAGTTTGGACATTCAAGAGCTCACTCAGAACATTTCCGAAGCATTTCGACAACAATTACATGTGCTGTCTGGAACTGTAACCTTGCAGGAGCTGGGGCAGCGCCTTGCTGCCTTTAACCCATGGACTCAGATAAAAACATGGATTTCTACAATCTCTGGAAGTATATTGCTTTGGGCACTTGGTTTGTGTCTACTTCTTTTGGTGATTCGATGCTCCCTCCGTCGCCACCAAAAACAAAAGAAAACACAGGAACAAATATGGGCTACCTTTTTAGGATTGAGGCAAAACAAAATTAAAAGGGGGGAAATGCAGGGGCCTTGAAAAGAGTATGCTGAGAATAGATAGGGCTCAAGGACAGTATCTCCAACTGAACTTTTAATGAACTCCCATAGGCGCCAAGAAGGCGGGTAGATAAGAAAGAATATAGAAACAAGGTACTGAGTAGAAGGTTACATGTGGGAAAAGAAAGTTTGTTTTGCATTGCATTCTTTCTGCTGACCTGAGGTTTATGCAGTATAAATAAAGTGAGGCGGAGGCTCTGAGTGCGGCCGCCATGTTCTCTGTGTGTCTTTGTCTTGTGTGTGTTCTTTCATTCTCCACCACCCCCGGTGCGGCCCCCAACAGACGGGTTTTCACCATGTTCGTCAGGCTGTTCTCAGACCAAACTCCTGACCTCGGCCTCCCAAAGTGCTGGGATTACAGGCTTGCGCCACTGCACCCGGCCTGAACATTTTTATTTAATAAAATATATTGCAAATTTTTATTAATGATTTACAATCAATCTTAAATCTACCATTTTGTGGTATTGTTGTCTCCAGGTTTCTCCTTTCTTCTCACAAAAAATTGTATCATTGAGAGTCTGCTAGTGTCAGGGATTTTCCTGGGCATAAGCACCCCAAGTAATGAGTCCCAGACCCTGCCTTGATCCAAACGTCCTTCTGAAAAAAAACTCAGTTTACAACGATAGGTCTAATAATAGTTATGTTTGTTTTGCACGGGAGATGCATTGATTAGCTAAGTGTAAATATAAGAACTTTCAAAATTAAAGTGGCTTTCCTTAATCCTTCTCGCTGCTTTAGGACTCATGCCTTTCTAGGAGAAAGATTTGGAGAATCGGCCGAGCGTGGTGGCTCACGCTTGTAATCCCAGCACTTTGGGAGGCCGAGGAGGGTGGACGACGAGGTCAGGAGATGGAGACTATCCTGTCTAACACGGTGAAACCCCATCTCTACTAAAAACAAAAAATTAGCCAGGCATGGTGGCACGCGCCTGTAGTTCCAGCTACTCCGGAGACCGCAACAGGAGAATCTCTTGAATCGGGAGGCGGAGGTTGCAGTGAGCCAAGATGGCACCACTGCATTCCAGCCTGGGCGACAGAGCAAGACTCCATCTCAAAAAAAAAAAAAAAAGAATTGGAGAATCATTTCTGCTTGTTTGGCACAGGAGATGCATTGATCACCTAAATGTAAATATAAGAACTTTCAAAACTAAAATGACGTTCCTTAATTCCTAAATCTCAGGATTTTCTAGGAATATAAAGATTTGGAGAATCATTTCTGTCTGTCCCACGTTCCCGGGTCAGAACCATTTCTGTGGTGTTCTAAGGTGTGAGTGCATGGCGGCAGTATTCCTAAAAATTCATACTCGGTTTCCGCATGTACCCTACTCTGTCCCTTTATCTATCCACATTGTTTTAAAGTATATTCTTCTCTCAAGGTGTAAGAGGATGATAAATAGGTGCCAAGTGGAGCACCCAAGTGTGATGAGCCCTCTCACAGTGGAATGGAGTGAGAAGCTTCTGACCTCATAAATTGATGGCTATCTTCGGTCATTGTTTTATATATTTTATGTAAATTAATCCTCATATAACCCCAAGAGGTAAATTAGTATAATCAACCTACATTATACGTGGGAAAGATGAGACCCAAAAGAATCAAAAAACTCTTCCAGGATCAACCAGTAAAAGGCAGCCCTTGGATTTGAACCAGGCAACCGGGCTCAGAAATCAATTTTAATTACTACACGCTGTACTTTCAAAGATTTGTAAACGCTTTGACAATGCATGCCAATTTCAAGCTATGAAGAAACAAATACAATTTTTATAACATCTCTCAAATCAAATAGGTCCACACTATGAAGATTAAATTCCAGACTGATGATGCTGTGAGGTCACATGGCCAGCTGTGCTGGAGGCCTGGTCAAGGTCAGAATCTGGGTTTACAGAGAAGCAAACAGTCAAACAAGAAGACTAACTTCCTGATTCATTCTCTCGACCTTTTTTTCTCCTAGTCCAACCTAAGGTGACTGTGTATCCTGCAAAGACCCAGCCCCTGCAGCACCACACCCTCCTGGTCTGCTCTGTGAGTGGTTTCTATCCAGGCAGCATTGAAGTCAGGTGGTTCCGGAATGGCCAGGAAGAGAAGGCTGGGGTGGTGTCCGCAGGCCTGATACACAATGGAGACTGGACCTTCCAGACCCTGGTGATGCTGGAAACAGTTCCTCGGAGTGGAGAGGTTTACACCTGCCAAGTGGAGCACCCAAGCGTGATGAGCCCTCTCACAGTGCAATGGAGTGAGCAGCTTTCTGACTTCATGAATTTCTCACCCACCAAGAAGGGGTGCTAATCCCTAAGTGTCAGGTTTCTCCTCTCCCACATCCTATTTTCATTTGCTCCATGTTCTCATCTCCATCAGCATGATTCACTGGGGGTAGCCCTGTAATAGCTTCTAGAAACACTGGTACCTCCTGGAGAAGCAGTCACGCCTGCCAGGCAGGAGAGGCTGTCCCTCTTTTGAACCTTTCTTATTCTTCCGCAAGAGCTTTCTCAGGACCAGGTTGCTACTGGTTCAGCGACTCTGCAGAAAATGTCCTTCCTCGTGGCTTCCTCAGCTCCTGTTCTTGGCCTGAAGCCCCACAGCCTTGATGGCAGCACCTCATATTCAACTTTTGTGCTTCCCTTTAACTAAACTTTCCTGCCTCATGTGCATCTGTACTCCCCTTGTGCCACATATACATTACATTATTAAATGTTTCTCTAACATGGAGTGAAAAATCATCTGGTCCATTTGGCTGCAAGGACTGGAAATAAGAAAAAGGGAAGATTATTTCCCAATAGAATAATGGTTTTCATGTGTATATAATAAGCGGGTGAGGTAAATGCACATATTAAATAGCTTGGTTTAGACATCCAACACTATAGGCATGTATCAAAACTTCATACTTCATACTTCGTACAACATAAATACACTATACAATTTTTACTTGTCAATTAAAAAAGTAAGCCTAACATTCAAGAAGGCAGTGCATAAAAACTGAGAACAGACTATAACAACCTAAAAAAACTCAGCAAACATGAGATGAAAAACCAGCCAGCAAGTCCATCAGAACTTTTTCTTAACCCTGCCTATAATATTCTGAATCTATACCTTTAAATTAGTGTATAGTTTTTCATTCCAGAGACTTCAATAATATAGTATTATCAAAGGACTTGTACAGATTTCAGAGAAAGGCAACTTTAGAAGACGGAGGGCTCTCCATTGTGTTCTGAGAGTCAGCATCAAATATGTCAAATCTGAAAGTACATAATCAATTCAAAAGTTTACTTCAAAGTAATAATCGTTTGAGCATAATTTCTCTACTGTCAGAGACAACTGTTATTTTCAATCAAATTAAATGTTTATGCATATTTTGTTTTTAGTTATATGTTACTGTACATACATGGTAGTGCATGTATGTATAAATTCTATCAGAATATAAATCCTATAGGAATATATTAAGCTGATAATTATGACTGTTCTGTTTGATCCCAGAGTCGCAACAAATATGCTTTGTTCCCTAAGTTTAGGAAATGATTTGTCTCATTTTATATGAGACTTGTGGTGTGGAATTCTAAGGTAGAACTAAAATGTGTGGGATGAATATTTGAATGAAGATGCTTCTGTTGTGAATAGCAGGAAATCCCATCTAGTGGACTTCTCTTTCCTTTAACCTGTTATCTCACATTGCCGATAGATCCAAGGCTGGGCATCTCCAGGGTTCCTCAACTCAGGAGGCCACGGGCATCAGCAGTGATCCTGGAACTTCATAGCTCATCTCTGTCACACACAGCACGTCAGCTTTCCTGAGGTGGTAGGAAGACCCCCGCGGCAGCTTTAGGTTTCTTATTGTTTCACAACAACTCCCAAAGGCAGAAAAAGGATATGACTTTTTCCTGTGTGTCTTCATAAGGATCAACTAAACTGTTTCTAGAGTGTTCCCAGTACCCACTTTCTCACACATTGGAATGACCATGGGATCACATGGGCTCAGACAAGCCAGGAATCAACTTTCGCAGAGTGGGCCTGATGCACATGGGAAGAAATGGAGTAAAATCATGTATTTTTAAAAATAAAGAAATGGTGGATGGAGTAGGAGAGATTGATTTCAGGGTAGGGAAAGGAAAGATTAGGGTACTATTAGGTTGTTAGTATTTGTAGTTAATTTCCACATGGAGGCCTAGAGATTCCTGATAGGCATCCTCAATTCAGGGTTTTTGGGTCTTTTAAAATACATAAATATTTATTATATGTGTATTTAAAAATATATATACTTTAAAAGCATAAATATATATATATATAATATGCATACATTGAGTATTAAATGTCAGCCATTAATTCAATTACAATAAAAAAGTAAGCAAAAAGAATTGTTTTTAGAACTCAATTAAGTATACTGACATGTTATTTTATGAGGTAAATATATTTTCTAGGGAAATTTTTGAAAAAAAGCAGAATAAGGAATGACTAGCTCTACAAGGTGCTATTTTAAAACACACTATACATTTATTTTTTGAAAACCATTTGTTACCGATTTTTTTTTCATTAAATACGCTAGTAAAACAGAGTCTAGAATTAGAAAGAATTGCGATTTTGTTTCAGTTTTTGGTAAGTTGTATTCCAAACTCATTTCTTTCACTAAATAGATCCTGGATAAATAAAAATTGAAACATAAAGAGAAAATACAAAATTAACAAGACAGATGTTATTTATTTATTTATTTTTCTTTTTTGAGATGGGGTCTTGCTCTGCTGTCCAGGCTGAAGTGCAGTGGTGCAATCCCGGCTCCCCACAACCTTCGACTCCTGGGTTCAAGTGATTCTCCTGCCTGACCCTGCCGAGTAGCTGGGATTACAGGTGTGTGCCACCATGTCTGGCTAATTTTTACATTTTTAGTAGAGAAAGAGTGTCACTATGTTGGGCAGGCTGGTCTTGAACTCCTGACCTCGTGATCTGCTTGCCTCGGCCTCCCAAAGTGCTGGGACTACAGGCGTGAACCACCGCGTTTGGCTGACAGATGTTATTTCTAATAGTATCATCAACATTATAATTATGTGTGAAGATAAACAGACTTTCTAAACCCTTATGTGGCACTGGTGGGAATGTATAATTTTACAAATACCTGGAAATTCAGCAATTTCCTAAAAAGTTTAACATATTTTGCCATATGACCCATCAATTTCACTCCTTAGAATCTACCTAAGAGACATAAAAACATATGTCCTCACAAAGATATGTGTTCAAGAACAGCGTTAGCCACAGCAGGCCCAAACTGAAAACAATCCAAATATCCGTCAACTAGCAAATGGATAAACAAAATGGTACTACATCCATGCAAAGCAATATCATTCAACAATAAAAGGGAAGAAAAACAGACTTATCTGGCAGGGGAGATACCATGAACATGAAGGTAGTTTTGCCAAGGCAAGTTTCAACCCTTGCACTCCGGATGATGAGACTTTACTTAACGGGTAGAATGCATGTGATTTGGGTGATGGATACTGTAGATACACCGACTTCACCACTATGCAATCAATGCAGGAAACAAAACTATACTTGTGCCTTATATATTTACACAAATGAAAAAAGACAACATGAATAAAAAGGAATGAAAAGAAAGGAAACAAAATGATGATTCATTCTACAAAACTGGTGAACTTCAATAATGTTAACTAAGTGAAGGAAATTGGACACAAAAGATTACATGTTGTATGATTTCATTTACTTAAAATACCTAAAAGAGTTAAATTATAGACACAAAAGCAGATCACTGGGTGCATAAGACTTGGAGTGTCAGTGGAAATTAGCTATAAATAGAGAAATTTTGAACGTGACAGAAATGTTATAAAACTGGATTGTTGTGATAATTGTACAAATCTATTAATTTACTGAAATCACTAAATTTTATATATACAATGAGTAAATTTTGTAGTGTATAAATTATGCTTTAGTAAACCTGTTAAAATAATTCCTTTATAAAAAATAATACACTGTGGCTGGGTGTGGTGGCTCATGCCTGTAATCCCAGCACTTTGAGAGGCCAAGGCAGGTGGATCACAAGGTCAGGATCACTGGTGTGAGATGGTATCTCATTGCGGTTTTGATTTGCATTTCTCTGATGGCCAGTGATGATGAGCATTTTTTCATGTGTCTATTGGTTGCATAAATGTCGTCTTTTGAGAAGTGTCTGTTCATATCCTTCGCCCACTTTTTGATGGGTTTTTTTGTTGTGGTTGTAAGTTTGTTTGAGTTCTTCGTAAATTCTGGATATTAGCCCTTTGTCAGATGAATAAATTGCAGAAATTTTCTCCCATTCTGCAGGTTGCCTGTTCACTCTGATGGTAGTTTCTTTTGCTATGCAGAAGATCTTTAGTTTAACTAGATCCCATTTGTCAGTTTGGCTTTTGTTACCATTGCTTTTGGTGTTTTAGACATGAAGTCCCTTGCCCATGCCTATGTCCTGAAAGGTATTGCCTAGGTTTTCTTCTAGGGTTTTTATGGTTTTAGGGCTAACATTTAAGTCTTTAATCTATCTTGAATTAATTTTTGTGTAAGGTGTAAGACAGGGATCTAGTTTCAGCTTTCTGCAGATGGCTAGCCAGTTTTTCCAGCACCATTTATTAAATAGGGAATTCTTTCCCCATTTCTTGTTTTTGTCAGGTTTGCCAAAGATTAGACTATTGTAGATGTGTGGTGTTATTTCTGAGCCCTCTGTTCTGTTCCATTGGTCTATATATCTGTTTTGGTACCAGTACCATGCTGTTTTGGTTACTGTAGCCTTGTAGTATAGTTTGAAGTCAGGTAGCGTGACGCCTCCAGCTTTGTTCTTTTGGCTTAGCATTGTCTTGGCAATGTGGGCTCTTTTTTGGTTCCATATGAACTTTAAAGTAGTTTTTTCCAGTTCTGTGAAGAAAGTCATCAGTAGCTTGATGGGGATGGCATTGAATCTATAAACTACCTTGGGCAGTATGGCCATTTTCATGATATTGATTCTTCCTATCCATGAGCATGGAATGTTCTTCCATTTGTTTGTGTCCTCTTTTATTTCGTTGAGCAGTGGTTGGTAGTTCTTTTTGAAGAGGTCCTTCACATCCCTTGTCAATTGGATTCCTAGGTATTTTATTCTCTTTGAAGAAATTGTGAATTGGAGTTCACTCATGCTTTGGCTCTCTGTTTGTCTGTTATTGGTATATAAGAATGCTTGTGATTTTTGCACATTGATTTTGTATCCTGAGACTTTGCTGAAGTTGCTTATCA